GAGAAAGTACCGACAGCCATCATTCGAGCTGGAAAGAGTAGGCCTATTTCCCATAGTCACATCGGCAAATCGATTGGTCCATAAAAACTTACCTGATCATTTTCAGCAGCAAAAGTATATCGCATTGGCACAAAGCGTATTGGATTGCATTGCTATGTAAAAATATAAATTTTTCGAAAACGCCTTAAAATACAGATGTTGAACAAAAATACCTTTTTTACTTAGGAAATACCAGAAAATGACCCTAATAGTTTTTTCTGCAAAAAAGTGCGTGCTCATTTCTCGTATTTTTATGAACGTAAGTAATAGAAAACGAAAAAATAAAATTACATTACATAGGTTAGAACAGAAGTATTCTATAGTCCATCCTTTTTAAAACACCCCGTATATTTTATATTATTTTTTTTATACATATTTATCAAAATTAAGATAAGAGATCCAAGGATTCGAAATTCTTACACGTTTCGACGCAGAATGACCGTCCTCATGTATTACCGACGTGCGCTATTGTACCGCTATGTCGTTTGCACGAGGAATAATTAGATTTTCTTTTACTCTTTAAACGCAGTAAAAAAACACCGTGATTCACCTCGACCCGAGATATCATCTTAGAACTCGGCCGCTGCAAAGAATTTCTATTATTCGGAGGACATTTGTTTTTTCCACAATCGTCCAACAAAGAGACTGAATAAATAAATTTTCTATTGTGATACAAACAGTGGTACTGGGGCAGGGGGCGAGGATAGCGAAGGGTGTTGCCTAAATAAGAATGGTTGGCTATGGTAATAACGTAAGGTGTTGGAAAATAATTCCCCAGAGGGATATTGAATATTTGGCGCATGATGTTATAATGTAACAATATTATAGTATATTATGCAACAAGTGCGGTAAACGGCATTTGACTCACGAGTTTATTTGACACGAGCGGAACGAGTGTTTAATAAACGAGTGACTTAAAAAGTTTACCGAACGTGTTGCAATAAATGTAAAACTTTTTTTCGTTTACTTAAATTTCTACATGAAAAACCCACGAAATAAATTTTGTTTTCAGCCATTTTACTGAGAGCTTTAAAGAATGACAATACACAATAATCTCTTAATATATGTGTTGCAGACGCTGATAATTTGACAACTGTACCGTATGATCTAATATAATTAGTGCTGCCACCTACACTACGTACTGACACCCATTTTAAAATTTGAAATCCATAGAAATAAAACACCGACTATTAATTAGCATAAAAATTTTGAGAAATTACGTAGACAAAAAATTATCAGAAGCTATTTCTGAAAAGTTCAAAATTTAGTAATTTTTAAGTGGCTGTAATTACCTAATCCTCTTTTAATGATAATCATACTTTGTTATACGGTTTTCGAAAGCTTAAAGACTAAACTTTAACAATAAATAAATAAATTGCTTTTTTGTAAAAAATTGCGAACGTTATACGTAAATTTAATTTTAGCGAAAAAATAATTTTTCCCATGTTAATTAAATCTGAAACTAAAATAAAAATACCGACCCCTTAGAGTTGAACTACAGGGCTCGTCTTTGGTGAGGATTTTTTTTATATCAAAAAGAAACACTTGAAAGGGTAAGAGCTAATAAAAAATATATATTTTTTAGGCACCTTAGTGTTGCATACTATACTTTTTCTATGATCGTTGCTTTTTGGGTACATTTTCGCACTGAAATGACCGTCAGAATTGTCAAATGTCAAAATTCAAGGAGTACGGTAATATCTCTGAAAACATCCGAGTGCTCTCACACCCTTGCGGTAAAATCCCGGAAATGTCCGAAGTGGCTCGATTCCGTGGGAAACGAAACTGACGTGGTAAAGTGACGCATCCCGCACGCTAGATCGGTGTGTAATTAGGCATTTTACAGACTCTTTACCCCACTTGTTGCATAATACACTATTAACAATATACGAATGCTTTTTTGTCAACTGTATCTCCACAACTTCGAATAAAATAAAAATTTATAAAACACAATACAAAGACAAGGCAAAAATTCATATTTCTTCATTTTGCATACGATTAGCTTTTTTTTTTAATTCGAATACGTCAGATCCTCGGACGGCGTCGGCCCAATCTTTATTCATGAGACGGCGTCGTCCATTTGGACGACACCGAAATCGATTACATAATTAACTATTCGAATCTGAAGCGCAAAAAAAATATGAGCAGGAAACGAAACCCATTAATGTCGTTATCGCTACGCGATTAATTAGCCGTAGACGAGAGAGCTCGCGAGTGCTTTTTTAAAATTAGAAATTGTTTTTATTATACCCTCGCGCGTGCAAACTTTTGCGATAATTCGCGTTTGTTGTCGAGAAATTATACCATCGTCGAGGCGTTTTCTTTTTCGTCCCGATTGCGCGAAAAATTGCTCTCGATTAAATAGCAAAAAAGGAAACGACGAGAGAGAGAGAGAAATAGAGAAAGTGTGGAGAAGTTTGTTTTGTATTTTGCTGAACGCCGCGTCTCCTGCAAATGTCACTTTTTGTTTGCGAAGAAAACGCAGAAAACAGTACCGATCTAACATTGTTTTCCTTTTTAACAGCAGCATTCTTTTCCTGATAGCAGTAGTTTGCAAAATACCACAATTGTTATATTAATAATTTTTTCTACTCCCGTCTGTAAAATACCTAATTACCCATCGATCTAGTGTGCGGGAAGCGTCACTTTACCACGTCAGTTTCGTTTCCCACGGATCCGAGCCGCTTCGGACATTTGGGGGATTTTACCGCACGGATTTAGGGCCAATCAAATGTTTTCGTAGATATTTCCCATGCTTTGAATTTTGACTGCCATGTCAGTGAACATATTCGTGTTGATTTGCCAAAAAAAATGTACCTAAAAACTAACGGTCGTTTATTAAACACTCGCTCCGCTCGTGTCAAATAAACTCGTGAGTCAAATGCCTTTTACCGCACTTGTTGCATAATATACTATTCTCAAACGTGTTGCATACTATAGTTTTTCAATGTTCGCACTTGTTACATAATATACTATTTTCTACGACCGTTGATTTTTGGGAACATTTTCGCAAAACAACGCGACATAACCGTGAGAATCGACAAACGTCAAAATTCAAAGCGTGGGAAATATCTCCGAAAAGATCCGATTGCTCCCAAACCCGTGCGGTAAAATCCCGGAAATGTCCGAAGCGGCTCGAATCCGTGGGAAACGAAACTGACGTGGTAAAGTGTCGCTTCCCGCACGCTAGATTTGGGTGTACTTAGGCATTTTACAAACGGGAGTAGAAAAACCTTTTATGTCACTCGTTTATCAAACATTCGCTCCGCTAGCGTGTGTGACAGTGCGCATAACAAAATTCCACATTTCCTACTGCTCCAAAGGCTTCAACAGCAAGTGTCGTAATTACTCGTCAACTTCAACTTTATTACAAGTTTTATTGGTCGCCCTAAAAGAAAATCATTTTCTAGATATTGATTTATAATCATTAACATTTTACCCAATAATTAATAACTGTCATATTAATTGACATTTCATGACATTTAACGACAAGCATTTTCAAGCATGACGTCAGGTCATCGAAAATACGGTTTTAAATTAACTCTCCAAAAAATAATTAGCAACGATCGTCATATAAGGGCTTTTTGCGAAATCTGTGATTGCCGTGTAATATCAACTTTTATTTTTGTATGTTTTTGTTATTGTTTGTTGTTTTTATTATTGTATCAAATTGCTTTGTATTCGGATAGTCTATAATCTTGTTCCGCACCAGAATACATCGCCGTTATAACTTTCCTGTTTCTTCCGTATGGAAAAAAGAGAATTTCATGTGTTCGAAATGTACGCCTATAGACGAATGCAGCGAATATCTTGGACGGACCATAAGACAAACATATAGGCCCTCCAGCAAATGGAAAAACGTAAAAAACTCATCACAACAATCAAGTAGAGAAAACTTCAGTACCTGGGACATATCACGAGTTTCTTCGCCTGGTAACACAAGGGAAGATCGAAGGAAAATGCGTTTTTTTTTTAAATCACTGATTTAAATGTTACAATTGGATAATTTCACATTAAAATATTTTGTTTATTTTAGAAGCAACCTTTTTTATCGCCCACCCAATAATTTTGCGCGTTTACATGTTTAGTTAATTAAAAAATAATTTAGAAATTCCTTTTTTTTTCGTTAAAATATTTTTTTTAATTTTAAAAACAATTTTTTTATTATTATTATTGAGTCGTCTACAATTTTTGATGGCAATACGATTTTTTTTTCATTCAAATATTTTGGTTACTTGAGTTTTAAACTAATTTCAACGAGAAAATTAATTAGACCGTTTTATTATTATCCACGACTACCGTTCTGATATGCCTCGAATCACTATCTTATCAATCGGTTACACGATGTGTACCGTTTTAAATAACACTAGAACCGAGCAGATAAGAGAGACATCGGTAGCACAAAATATGTTAATTTCCATATTCATTTTAAGTCGACCTAAAAATAAAAAAAACAAAGCATTTTTTACACAAATAATAATAAAATAAAATAATAAATAAAATAAAATTATAAAAAATTGTTTTAAAACGAATTTTATAAAAAATATATTCCCGCTTCTCTTAGCCGAACTTTTAGCCAACAAATCCGACAACAATCGATAACAACAATTACAATTTTGAGAAAAAAAACGGTTTCTATCTATTTTTCCTCGTTTAAAATTAGATACACCGCATACACACCATCATCATCATAATTTATCACAAAACGTTAAATAAATGCAATGACAGAACAAATCCGACCAATTTTCCCTTTTCATCTATTGGCTTTATTAAGGATTCAAAAATCTATAACCCCCATTAATAATTAAAAAGTATTCCTTTGCTCCATGCTTAAAAAGTATTTTCTTAAATGAACTACAAACCGATCTTAAAAAATGATTAATTTCGTTATTTTTTTTTTCCTTCAAAAAAAATTTTTTTTTTGTATTCAAGCAAACATTTACACATACACACAGTCCTACCTTTTTCAGACATATTGCGTCGCGTCTCTCTCACAAAAGAAAAAAGAAAAAGTCAGAAACGAACGTCGAAAAAAATGAAATACTGACGCGCGAAACACGCGGATCGGAGCGTCTGCTGCGACGAAGGCAGGTGAAGAAGTTTTTTTTTGTTTGTATCGCGGAGCGTGTGTGTGTGGTACGCGCGTGTCGATGCTCGTTTGTTTCGAAAGTAACGCGGCGCGGCCGACCGAGATTTTGAATGTCGGTCGTCAAAAGCAGAAGAAAACCGAATGAATGGAGAACGAGTCGCGGAAAACCGCTATTATAAACCGGGACGAAGGCGGCTTGAATATGCCGCCGTTATTATCGATATTGACAAAGGCAGCCGGCCTACCGACGCGACCATCCCCGCCACCAATCGAATTTCCGATAACAAATTTTAAAAAACAGTTCGACTTCGAAGAAGACTACAACACGACGAACAGGAACACCCCTCTAGTTTTGAGCAAAATTCTGAGTACTTTTCGCAACGTTTTCCCATGTCCATCTCTTTCCCTTGCCATGGAAAAAAAATATTTGTTTGCCACATAAACAGTTTTACGTATATTTCGACCAGAAATTTAGTGCTTTTACAACCGACACCGTGATTATCTTTGCCTACAGCTTATCAGCCCAGCAGAACCTTGCACGTAACGAAGTACCAGAATCTTCTCTCACTTTCCTCTTGACTATCCCATTTGCAACAATTTTTTTTACAGGTGAATTCGGAACTTTGATCACGTCACTTGTTTCCATTGCTGCTCCTACTTTCCCTTCTGAATTTTCTGTAAAATTGTAAACATTGAAAACAATTTGTTTAACATCCGAAGACAAATGGATCCGTTTTTTTATTTACTGATGTAGTTCGTCTGCTAAATTGCGATGAGGTTACACTACCAACTCCACTTCGTCTTCAAATTCTGCGTTGTTTTCCATGTCTTCTCCTAAGAGGGAAATATCGCTTCAATCTCACGACCCACACACTTTAAAGTGTTAAAAAACAGAAACCTTCAAAAAATGTTTAATTCTTATGACTTACCTTTATCTACCGGGAACATTATCTATAGTTTTAAAAAAAACTGTTGTTGTTTCCAAATCGAAGAACTGCGTAGAACGCACAAATATACAAGAAGAATGCGGTTAATTGACAGGCACGCAAGACAAAAATAATTATTCTTGATAGTATTATAAGCAAATTTTACAAGGGTAGGTGTTAGAGTGACCGAGAGTAGAGTTCGCCTAACGATATACCGTATAATGACAATGACGTTTCTTATTGGATAGGACCAACATTTTACGACATACTATTATGGGGCTAACTTTAAATTGAGGGTTCCGGAGCTGATGGGAGGTACGGCGAAGCGGTAGCATTTACAGGGAAACAGATTTCAGCATCGTGTTCGAGAGGAAAAATTATATAAGATTTGACCTCAAAAAATACTCCCTTTGAGTTTTTGAGTTATTAGGAAAGTATTTTTTTTTGAGGAGGCGGGTGGTTCGATCGAAACGAGGTTTGCGGCGTTGAAATCCGGAGGTTTCAGGATACACACACACACACACACACACACATGATAGTAATATCCAAAAACATTTTATCACTTTTAAAATCACTTTTCTCACCAGCAATAAGCAAAAGTAAATACAGGACGCACGTGATCAGCGTAAGCGTTTTTCAATTGTAAAAAAAATACATTTTCTATAAACCATATCGCTATTGTTAAAACAAGAACTATTAATTAACAAGACATTTTGTTAACGCGAGTTGAGTTAAATTTCTTATTTGCCTATGCTTCTGAATACATAAAAATAATCATCCTGTGCATAGTGTATCTATCGGTAAAGCCCGTCAATACATTTGAATTACGTTTTAAATGGAAACAATGCAATCTCCCTTAATTATATATCTATATTTTTTTTTTCGTATACGAATGTCGACCGGCATCCAACTACGCCTCGGGGCATCCACATGAAACAATAACTTATTAACCACTCAGACTTTGGATTTCCTTTTGATTTTGTCGTTACGCAACGTCACGAGACGGTAGTTAGTGGTCATTATCGTGCACGCCGCAAATCGTCAAGTTCATTATCAATGACGGGCGGACCCCCCCACCCCCCGCTGCTTCCATATTGTTTCGCTTTCGATTTACCGCCCGACCATCAAAGACGACGAAATGTCAAGAAATACCGTTTTGTTTATGTCGTCTTCGAAGGATCCGTTTGAATTGTTTTGCGATTAATTCGTTTAATGCTAATAATCTAAGTGAGGAATCCGCGGCTCAAAATATTAAGATTTAACCAACATCACTCAGATAAAATGTATTTTTTGCTTGGATTACAATAATCTAAGGTTTTTTTATACTTTCGTGGTATTAGGATTGATTTTTTATTTCGTTTGCAACAAAGCGTTTAAAGTTATATTCTTTTGTTAATACGGATTATGGTTTCATTTGCGTAATAGATGCAATTTTCATGGCGCAAAAACTTCGACATAATTGACAAGATTGCTTTCGAAAAATCGTTTGTAGCGTGTAACGCGAAGCAGTTTTCTATTTCGAAGAGAAGCCGCTTCTCGGTTTCTTGCCGTAGAGACGCGGACCACTATGCAACTTTCGCAAAATCGATGTAATTGTATTGTGCATGCAACCTGTATGAAGTGTCTTGCACGTCTCGCCGGACTTCAAAGTTACGGCAAACTTTGGTAAATATTAAAATTTTTACAAATAATAGCGCACCCTGTATGATAGACGAAAACTGAAACTCTCTCCCGGCACAGTTTACGATACTTCTCAGACCAAATTAGCACAACTTTAATAGTTTTTTATTTACCGCCAATAATTTACCCAGAAAAACGGAAATTTTTGGGATCTTTTAGATTTTTTACCCATAAACGACACGTCCTGTATATAATTCAAACAATAGTCGAAACAGAGCCCTGGATCTCCCAGGTTTCCTGGTATAGGAATTTTTCCAATAGAGTCAATGGTTTTCGAAAAAAGACATGTTTTCTGAAACCATGCAGTAAGCCGTAATAATAAATGACGTTACCGCGTCTCCATTGAGTGACTTTTTCAAATATCTCAAATAGACGAAAACCGTAAATACAAAAATTGTAGGCCTCGATGCGGCCTTCATTACTGTAAAAACCAAATAGCGATATTTTTAACAAATTTTGATTCGCGGCTGATAATTTAATGCCGAAAAGAACAATTTTCAGGGTCTTTTAGTTTTTTGTCTATAATTGAAAAACCGTGGATATAATCGAAAAAATGCCTCAAATAAAGGTTATGATCGCCGATCGTTCGCTTGTCCCGGTTCACAAATTTTGCCGATCGGGTTAGCTTTGGAGAAAAATTTTTTTCAAAGAAGCCAAAATAACCCCAAAAAAAATTTTTTTTAACCCTCGCGAGATTTGAGTGAGTCCTGTTTCTGCCAAATCTGAAGTCAATAGCTGCAAATTTAAGACACCTGTTAATTTTTCAATCTAGCACTTAATATCTTGAACACCCTGTACAACAATTGAAAACCATAAATAAAAAAGTTTTAGCCGTGTATGCGTGCTATATCGTCATGCAGGAGAAACTGACATCTTAAATATAGTCTTTTAGTTACAGCCAGTTAGTTACAGCCATTAATAGGGGAACCCATTTTTCAGTTTTTTTTTTTAATTTGCGGCGCACCCTGTATATTTTTGAAAAATTTGCTATGGAACATAATCTTCTGCGTCTTCTAGTTTGAGAATTTTTTTTAATCGCGTAAACGGTTTTCGAGAAATGATTATTTTCTTGAACCCTTGCAAACGCTGTTTTTAATTTTCAAAAAATACTTCCGGATCTCTCAGCCCCCCCCCACCCAAATTTCAATGTGTTCCGTCAAGGAACCAAAAGCTATTTACTTGCAAAATTTGAAGTCCAAAAAACAGACGAAAATGTGACCGCAAATATAGTGGAGTGTAAAAAAGGAACAAAATTTGAGCCACCTGGTTCGAGAGTTATTGAATTAAAACCTTTTCCACAGAAAACGGAGAACGGAGAAACAGAAAAAAAAGTACAATTGTTTTTTTTTTTCGACCCTGATTCGATCTGTACCAACAGCGGCCCCGTAGTACCTACCGTTACCGAGATCTGGAAAAAAAATATTAGCGCATATACTTTCGAAAAATTCGATTTCATCGATTTTTCGAAAGTAATAAGTGCCTACCCATTGACATCGCGGTAATTGTGCAGCTTTATGTTTAACTTTATATACTCTGTACACTAGCCTTTTGTTACGTTGTACAGACCATAACGCCATCCCTAATTTTCTTAAAATATCCCATCATGTCGAAACCTCGTCCGCATACAAAATTCTTCGAAAATCTAGTTTCGCTTTACTTCGAGAAAGAATTCATCACACAGGTAACGAAATAGACCTCATCAATAAGACTCTTCTGTCTCTATATCTTGAAATTGCTTCCATCTTGTCTCCATCCGAGATCGATATCCTTTCAAACATGATTCATGACAAAGCTTTATCTTCTACCCAGAATCACATTCAGAAATTTGAAAAAGTATCGTCAATACTAGGGAAACCATCAAACTCTTCTCCACTACCAAACACTGTGACAAATGTATCGTCGCACCAACTTTCGGAAACGGAGAAATCAGTTCTTTTAAAAGATTCCAACTTTGTCCTTGCCCCACGTATTATCCCAAAAGAGGAAATCGTTTCAAATGTCGAGTCTATCCTAAACAAAATGCCATCTCAAACAGCTAATGAAATTCGATTTGAAACCGCAAAAATCCTTAAAAAATCAAAACCTCCTAAATCTAATATTGCAAAGCCTGAACGCATTGCCCTAAAATATCTAGAATCTAATTGCGACATCGTAATCCTAAAAGTAAACAACGGTGGTTATGAACACAAATGAATATCAGGAAAAAAATAAAGATATTCTTACAGACGGATCATATTGTCAACTTAAAAAAGGTCCTACGTCATCTATGTCCATCAGAGTCCGTGAAAAAATCTGTCACCTCTCATGACTCTAAAATTCCTCGTCTCTACGGATTTCCAAAGATTCACCAACCAGGATTACCCCTTCGACCTATTGTCAGCACCATTATTTCTCCAACATATTCTATAGCAAAATATCTAGCTCCCTTATTAAAACCCTTTACAGGAAAAACTGACAGTTTCGTACTCAATTCCTTTCACTCCTTTGAACATATAAAAAGCATTACATTAGATACATAAGATATTCTGGTTAGTTTCGACGTTGAACCCCCCTTTACCGTAGTCTCTATTTCTGCAACATCATTTCAGATATATTAAAATCA